TAAAGCGCGATGTTACGATGGTACGATGGTGAAAACACGACGCCACGATGATGAAACAGCGATGGCGCGATGGTAAAATTATCATGATGCGATGACACGATGGCGAAAATAATATTGCGTTTTCATCATTATGCAATCGCAGTTTCATCATCGTACCATAGTATTTTCACCATCGTAGCATCTTGTTTTCACCATCGTACCATCATGTTTTCATCATCGTGTCTTCGTTGTTTCACCATTGTACAATTGTTGTTTCACCATCGTACAATTGTTGTTTCACCATCGTATATTTTTACCATCGTAAAATCGCGTTTTTATCATCGTACCTTCGTGCCATCGCGCTTTCACCATTGTAAATCGTGAACGGGATTCCGTATGTTTCAGTGTTCGCCTTCAGGTTCAGCCAATCAAATTTCTTGAATTAGATATTTTAGAATTAATAAGTTTTAAGTTTAAGATTTCATTAAAAAAAGTAGCAAACCTATTGATGATTACACTTGACATGACAAAAAGGGCGATCATCGATTCTAAAAGAAATGTTGCCGTTGGAAAATATGTGACAAATTATTCAGAGAAAATGACACGAGACAAAAGTGCTTTCTTGTCACTTAAAAAAACATGAGACAAATGTGCTTTCTTGTCCCTTAAAAAAACTTGATCAGAGCACATTAGTAATACAATTAAGTTTTTACAAGTTTGTCTTACGTAAGACAAATGTGCTCCGAGACAAAGGTGCTCCTACAATGCTTTGTTTTTAAAGATGTTTGTAAATATTGTGTGTTTTAGTTTAAGTTGTTTTCTGATGCTGATTAGATTCTGTGAAGTTAATATTGTTGGTTGAATGTTTTCTCTATTTTATAGTTTATACTGTATGTAAGAGTGTATAATAATTCATTTTGTGTTCTTTATTTTGTGGCGATTTTATTGCTTTGTTTGATCATAAGTTGTTTAGAGCTTGAAAAGATTTTTTGAATAAGTGGTTTATAAATGGTATGTGTTTGTTTTGGGTGTAAATAATGATCAGAGTTCTTTGTTTTGGGTGTATATAATAATCAGAGTTTGTTGCATTAATGTATGTATGGATTTGAGATAGAAAAAAGATAAAAATACCTAAAAATAGTGTTAACTAAACAATTACATGCTAGGTTTCCTACTGAGAATATATAAATTTTAAAGAAGGCGTTGCTGTGTAGGAGCACATTTGTCTCGGAGCACATTTGTCTTACGTAAGACCGATGCGGTCGCATTTGTCCCACATGAGACAAATGGGACCTCAAATGTCTACCCAAAAAATTTCATTTGTGTGACAAATGTGCTCCGATCAAGTTTTTTAAGGGACAAGAAAGCACATTTGTCTCATGCGTTTTTAAGGGACAAGAAAGCACATTTGTCTCATGTCATTTTTATGAATTATTTGTCACATATTTCCCCACGACAGAAATTCTTTTTTAGAATTGAGGTTCGCCGTTTTACCTCATGCCAATTGTAATCAACAATTGGTTTGCTTATGCTTTCTTTACGAAAACCTGAAGTGAACTATTAATTATTATATCTTTAATTCAAGAAATTGATTGGCGTACACTGAAACATACTAAATCCCGTTCAAGATGGTAAAATGGTGACAGCGCGATGGCACGATGGTACTGAAAGCGCGATGGAGCGATGGTGAAAACGCAATGGTACGAAAGTGAAACAACGATTTTACGATGGTGTAACAACGAATGTACGATGGTGAAACAACGAAGGCTCAATGATGAAAACCTGATGGTCATATGGTGAAAGACGATGTTACGATGGTGAAAATACGATGGTACGATATGATGGAACTGCGATGGCATGATGATGAAAACAATATTATTTCCCCCTATCGTGTCATCGTATTATCGTGATTTCACCATCGTGCCATCGTGTTTTAATCAGCGTACCATCGTACCATCTCAATTTCACCTTTGTACCATTGGGCATAGCTGTTCAGGGAGACAAAAATGTTACTTATTTCCAAACGGAACACCGTAATCGGTTGATATTGAATGATACAATATCGTGACTCGTTTCGCATCTCGCCGAAATCTCGCGTCTGGCTTCGCATCTCGTTCGTTGACGCGAGACAAGAAATTGATTCCAGGTCATATACCGCTACGTAGTATTCCCTTTATAGTCTACATAAAATCACTTTAAGGCCCATTATGCCTGAGAAATGCTTTTATTTGTATTCCTCAAAAGCTTTTTATTTTTGGTATACTTTTATAGCTCCAAAAAGTTATTCATTGGCTAATTACCTGAAACATTTTTTCATCTGCTGCTTTTTTTTGCAGTTTGTACAGTTGAAGTCAAAATACTACTTTGTTTACATTTTGCTACTTTTATGACTTTATCGCGAATTTGTTTTGGGTTACAAGCATCTAACTTCCTCAGAAATAATTATTTGAATATTAATAAATTCGTACTTGCCCTATCTTAAGACATTTCAGTCTGAAATCTCGTGGTACGGGATACTCCGACATTGTATCTATTCTTGGAAAATGACGATTTGTCATACATGTATTTCGGATGAAAGAAAATACGTGTGTAATGGTCTTCTTATTTTCTTCCATAGATCATTTAAGGACCTCCGTGGCCGAGTGATTTCTAAAAACCACTTGCCCCTAACCGCTGTAGGTTCGACACATACACGGGGCGTCGAACTATTCATGCGAGGATCCAGGTCAGGGTCCAAATGCGGAATACATATCCGCGTGCGCACGTAATAGCTATCGCGTACGCACGTAATAGTATCGCGAGGCCACGTAAAAGCTATCGTGTGCGCACGTAATAAATAAGAAAATTTTATGTCCCCTTTATGCCACCGTAGATACTACCTTGTTTTTTGCTTAGATATTTCTAGTGCCATAAATCATTTATAAAACTTTAAGCATTGAAAATAAACGTGTCACAATTAATAACGATAAGAATAGACTTGCTGCATATGTGTTTAGGTTCTGGATGCTACACTTGTAGAAATTTTCATTGTGTCATGCAGCACAGGGATATTCTTTAACTTAATAAATGACTCCTATGCAGAGGCAGGAAGTTTTTGACTGCCCGGAAGTGACCTTAAAACGGTATTATTAATACAGAAAACACAGAACAATGGCTGGTAGCCGGCAAACAGATGGGCATACTTATTACCTTTTAAGAATTTTATGGAAAAATGTGAGACAAATGTGCTTCGAGTGTCCTTTCTATTGTGTGTCGAACACATCTGTCTCATTTCCAATTTGTTGCAAATATGAATGTTTACGAACACATCGGTCACACTTCGTGAGACAAATGTGCTCCGAGACAAATGTGCTCCTACATTGCTGTCCAGAAATGTGTCATCCTGCCACGGATGCCCACGCATGCAGCCAAAATTTCAGATGTTATATTTTTTAGTTCCAAATTTGTTTGCATAATTTTTTTTTATTTAAGTTCAAAGCCCTTAAAACTTTTCAATGTTAACACAAACCATTTTTATATAATGTTCAAGGCACTGAAATTTATTCAGTCTTAACCTTTTGTAAATTGCATATTGCATATTTGTAGCCAAAATAATTGCTACATACATTTCCACAAAAGGATGAGTGCTGAAACTGAAAGTTCTTTTTTTTCAACATTCAGGAAAGATAAGTTTGTCCAAAATCATTGAACCACGACCAAATTCAAACTTAAACTACTTATTCCTAAGATGTATCTATATGTTAAATTTGAGTTGAATGTGTACAACCATTGGGAAGATAATGAACGGAAACTTAAAATTTCAGATTTTTTTTCAAAGTTCAAGAGGGATAACTCTGTCAGCTATCATCAAACCATGACCAAATTCGAAATTGACCAATGCATTCTTATCATATCTTTAATTTGAGTTGAATATGTACAACTGTTGGGGAGATAATGAATGGGAACTGAAAATTTCCTTTTTTTCAAAGTGAAAGGGGCATAACTCTGCCAAAAATCATCAAATCATGACAAAATTTCATTGATGTATCCATATGTCAAATTTGAGTTGAATGTGTAATACCCTAGAGGTGATAATGAACGGAAACTGAAAATTTCATATTATTGTCAACGTGAAAGGGACATAACTGTGCCAAAAAATCATAAAACCATGACCAAATTCCAACTTGACCTGCGCATTCCTTTGACATATCCATATGTCAAATTTGAGTTGTATATGTCTGTTGGGGAGATTATGAACAGAAACTGTAAATGTCATACTATTTTCAAAGTGAAAGGGGCATTATTCTGCCAAAAATCATTGATCGAACCTGGTCTGCGCATTCTATTGACAAATCCATGTCAAATTTGAGTTGAATGTGTTATACTGTTGGGGAGATAATCAACGGAAACTGAAAATTTCATATTATTTTCAATGTGAAAGGAGCATAACTCTGCTAAACATTATTGAACCATGACTAAATTCAAACTTGACCTGTATTTTCTCATGACATATCCATATGTCAAGTTTGAGTTGAATGTGATGTACTGTTGGGGAGATAATGAACGTGGCATAACTCTGCCAAAAATCATCGAACCATGACCAAATTCAAATTTGACCTGTATTTTACATGACATATCCATATGTCAAATTTGAGTTGAATGTTTGCAACCGTTACTAAGATAATGAACGTAAACTGATGATGACGGAATGACAGAATGATGGAATGACGGAACAGGGTAACACTATATGCCCCGGCCATTATATGGCGGGGGCATAAAAACCAATGGGTGATTCTAAAATTTATTCGTTGAAACTAGCGCAATAATTAGAACAGTATGACTTATGTGACAATTAAAATTTGTGAATTTTATTATTACTGTAAGACAGTAAATAAATGCAAACAGAGCTATTACAGCGTTACGTAAAGATACCCAATTTCTTGAATTCATCATTTTTCAATGCAGGTAGACGTTGTTTTTTTTCTGTTTGTTTGTTCAGTTTTTTTGAACAGCATTGCAATTAGATTTTATTTTACATTCAGGTATCACATGTTTATACTGGACGAACATACATTTATCAGGTATGTATCCTTCATATAATCTTCAAACCATAATGATCTCTTTTATTTATCTATAAACTTGCAAAAATGTTCTCATACTTCTTTATAGGAATTCTACTGAGGTCATGATAACCTCTTTATTGGGGGTCATTTTTCAAAAGAAGAATGAAAAACATAGTTAGCGAATGTTCTGAAATATACTTAATCTGGAATAAGATCATTATTTCGTAAAATGTATTCATAATTTAATATTATTCTTTTATTTGTTTGTTTTATTATGTTTTACGTCACACCGACACAGTATAGATAATAATAATAATAATAATAATAATAATAATAATATAATAATAATAATAAAAAATATATATAAAATTTTAAGCTGACATGTGCTAATAAATGCGTACTTATATATAAAGGTACAGATTTCATCAACGACTGTAAAGACGTTTATCACCAAAAGCCGGTTCTTAAATGTAAGTGTGTTTTTCAGTAGTCCTTATTATTCATATCACAGACACACGTAATAAGAAAAACAAACTTTTAACAGTCGCAGCGATCTACTCCTTTATTTGATATTTAGTAACAAACCAACTGTTTTTATTTAAATATCTCCAAAATTGCTGAAAAAGACGTGTTTTATTGAAATATTCAAAATTACGTTAAATATCATTCTAAATCTACGTACATGTATTTCTTTTTAAATTTATTACAGAAATAGCTAACATGTTCTATATTTATTAAATGGTGGGAAGGGTGGGGGCGACGATAAAAATATGGAAAAATTGATTGACTTTCATCTAAGGTTAAAGTTATAACAGAAATGAGTAAAACCTAACGGTATTTTGTCGTATAGCACTTGGTTTATTAACCTTTGTCCTGTAAATGTGTGTGAATTATCTTTTATTCTATTTCCTATTTAAACACATTTGAGCTTTTTTATTTAAAACTTCAAAAACAGACTATTCAGTGTCGCATCTTTTGGTTTATGTTTCTCTCCAGCACAATACTATGACCTACTATTAAACAGTTACATGAGAGCCGGAAGTTCTTTTGCTGGTATGGTTTTCGGATATAGAGCAGATTCGTTTTATGTATACGAACCCTTATGGAAACTCTCACAGTGGACTTATTGGCATGGCAACAGGATGGTATGTAGAGCTGATCGTCTAGAGTGCAGGTATGTGCAGGTTTTATGCGCAAGCTGTCTCGTGAACATTATTCAAAATGGATTTAACCACAGGAACTTAAAATTCTATCACTATTAACGATAATATGCGAAATATACCCCCTATATACTATAAAAAAACAGTATATAGGGGAGGGGGTATATTTGGATATTATAATTAATATTGGTTATTTGATAGAATTTCAAGTTCCTGTGATTTAACTCACTATGAACAGTGTTGGAGTCGCTAGCAGAAATCATGATCACAAAGTAGAACAATAACGCTCTTTTTCGTCGCTGTTTTTAAAAGTTTTGATTCATAATCGTACATAAGTCCGTGTGAAGATTTTATTTAGATTGTGCATTTTGGCGGGTAAAAAGGCAAATTTATAGCATTTTTGATTTTAATCATTCAAGCGCCTTGTCCGGTATATACCGGAATACGGTATATGTTGTGGTGCTCCAACATTTTTATCAGCCTAATAGTCTCACTCATTTAATAAATTCTAACGAAATATCTGTCAGTGACATCATATGCTTCTTTATAGAATATGATTTTTGTGAAGAAAAAAATTGCAGAGTGTTTTGGTCAATATTTGTCTGTCTTTTGCATATTTGATGTCAGAAATGTGGAGCCAGGGGAGATATATCAAGACAAGGCATCTGCTGACCTAAAGTAAATATGTTTTTGTTTATACATGTATATGTGAAAAGGCATACGTTGTCATTAAACCTGCTGAAATTATACAATGTATTTGCCCAACTTTGAATTCGGATATTCCATTGGAATATCGGGGATTTCAAGTTAACAATACAAACGTTTAGCTACTTCCCGGGTTAAAGAGAACATTACCGTGATATGTGTAGAGCTCGAACCTACCTTGTGTTTCTAACTTAATTAGAAAGAGGCCTGAGTCTCTAAATTTTAGGAAGCAAAAAATCTCAGCCTGGTGTCAGTTTAGAATTTAAGGAAAATTGCTTTGTTTAGAAGATTTTATTGTTTTTATTTTGAACAGGTCATTTATATACTTCTGTTTTTGTGTCGCCTCGAAAAAGGCGACATATAGGGGTTACTTTTGTCGTCGGTGTCGGCGTCGGCGGCGTCGCTATCGGCGTCGGTGTCGGTGTCCCCTTAAGCTTGTCCAGAGCATAAATCAGTCATTATAAGTCCGATGACTTCAAACTTGGTATGCATGCTTCCTTTAATAACCCGAAGTGCAGTGCACAAGAACCGGTACTCTGCACTTCTTATTTTTTGAGTTATTGCTCTTTGTTAATTTTCATACTTTATTTTTGTCCGGGCTATTTCTCCTTATGTATAAAAGCTATGGACTTGAAACTTCATAGAATGATAAATCTCATTAAGGAAAAGTGCAGTGTATAAGAACCGGTACTCTGTATGTCTTATTTTTTTAATAATTGCCCTTTGTTCATTTTCATACTTTATTTTTCTCCAGACCATTTCTCTTAAAGTATAAAAGCCATGGCCTTTAGACTTCATAGGATGATAGATCTCATTAAGAACAAGCTATGTTTGTAAAACATGTATGCTTCCTATCGGCAGCCAATTAGTCATGTGATCAGGTTATTATGCATGACTTCTGACCCAGTGAACAAACAATTAATAAGGGTTATCTAGTGACTAGTCACAAAGTAATAATTATTGTGACCCCATAGGTTGTGTGCAGCAATTTAAGTTATTACAAATCTTACCAAATAAAAGTTCCTAGGCCTAAACGTTCTTTAGTTATTGATTGGAAACCGTTTTTACTTACAAGGTCACATTTTACAAGGTCAATGTGACCTTGACTTTTGACCCCAAAATCAATAGAGGTCATCTGTTGGTCATGACAAATCACCATACCCAGTTTGAAGTTCCTAGGCCTAAGCGTTCTTTAGTTATTGATCGGAAACCGTTTTTACCTACAAGGTCAATGTGACCTTGACCTCCCCTTGACCCCAAAATTAATAGGGGTCATCTGCTGGTCATGACCAATCACCATATTAAGTTTGAAGGTCCAAGGCCTAAGCGTTCTTAAGTTAATGATTGGAAACCGTTTTTACCTACAAGGTCAATGTGACCTTGACCTTTGTCCCCTTGACCCCAAAATCAATAGGGGTCATCTGCTGGTCATGACCAATCACCATACCAAGTTTGAACTTCCTAGGCCTAAGCGTTCTTTAGTTATTGATCGGAAAACTTTAATACTTAAAAGGTCAAGGTGACCTTGACCTTTGACCCCTTGACCCCAAAATTCAAAGGGATCATCTGCTGGTCATGACCAATCACCATACCCAGTTTGAAGTTCCTAGGCCTAAGCATTCTTTAGTTATTGATCGGAAACCGTTTTTACCTACAAGGTCAATGTGACCTTGACCTTTGCCCCTCTTGATCCTAAAATCAACAGGGGTTATCTGCAGGTCATGACCAATTACCATACCAAGTTTGAAGTTCCTAGGACTAAGCGTTCTTTAGTTATTGATCGGAAACCGTTTTTACTTACAAGGTCAATGTGACCTTGACCTTTGACCCCTTGACCCGAGAATCAATTGGGGTCATCTACTGGTCATGACCAATCACTATACCAAGTTTGAAATTCCTAGGCCTAAGCGTTCTTTAGTTATCACTCGGAAACCATTTGGTCTACGGTCCGTCGGTCGACGGACCAACAAATACAAAGCAATATACCCCCTCTTCTTTGAAGTGGGGGCATAATAAGTGCGGTGTGTTAGAACCGGTACTCTGCACTTCTTATTTTTGAGTAATTACCCTTTATTAATTTTCATACATTATTTATGTCATGGTCATTTCTCATAAATTATAAAAGCTATGGACTTGAAACTTCATAGGATGATAGATCTTATTGATAAGAAGTGCAGTGCATAGAAACTGCTGCTCTGCACTTCTTATTTTTTGAGTTATTGCCCTTTGTTAATTTTCATAAAGGGTCAAGGTTATACAGGTGATAACAACTAACATTCTTTCTAGTAAAGTATAACCTGGATTTAATAAACTTTCAAGTGCATTTATTTAGATAAAAAGTTTCGTGGACTTAAATGTTGGAATATAACGTCAATGATGTTCTTGATGTAAATATTGGATTTAGAAGGCTATTTTTGTGGTTATACTTGACAATGGAATCTACCAAAGAAAAATTATGGCGGTCAACACATAAAACACGGAAAAAACGGATTGGTGAGTGACTGTTAAGTAACATACTTTGTTTGATTGCGTCTGTGTTGACCAACATTCGTCAATATTACTATCTTCAATTTCAAAAAAATAAAGGAATAAAATGAACACAAGACGTAGAAGTTCCGGGCGTGAGGGCCTGTCAAAAAATCGGGAACTGTATCGGCGTTGACGGGGTCGCCTAAAATGCCAGACTCGAACAAAAAGGATCACAGAAAAGATATACTTGAAAGAGACACTGATACTCAGGACGAAAGTGGAAAGCAGGTAAAAATTGACGAAATGATGGCACCAAAAGAAAGTCAGCCGGACTTAAAAAAGCTTATGGACATAGACAAAAGGTTAGAAAAGAAGGTAAATAATTTGGTTTCCAAAGAATATATTGAAAACGCGCTTGACGAACGTCTGGAGGGACTTGTCAGTGAAAACTTTGTTGCCTTTTCCTTGAAAACACTTAAAAAGGCATAAGTGATGAGATCAAGGCAGATCTGGATAAGTATATGAGCAGATAAGGTCAGTGAAAAGCAAAATTCAAGAAGCTCACACGGAGATAGAATATCTGTAAAAATCAGAAAGTGATATGAAAGTAGAAATACAAAAGGTAAAGGGGGGGAATGAAAAACTTCGAAATAGGAACAAGGAGCTTAACGAAAAAATCAACAACAATCACGATAGAGTTAGGTACAATGAGCATCAAGTGAATGCTGAGCATGAAATTTGCTTTATTTTTACAATTTACAGGAAAGAAATCTACATAAGTCTTTGACTTCTTTTTCAATCCTGTTTATATAATGTTGTTGTATCATAATAGTATATGTTTGTATTATATGAAATAAATACTGTTTAAACCAAAAACTTCGAAATAGGAACAAGGAGCTTAACGAAAAAATCAACAACAATCACGATAGAGTTAGGTACAATGAGCATCAAGTGAATGAGCTTGAGCAATACACCAGGAGAAACAGCATCCGGATCTATGGGATGAACGATACCAACAAGAATGAAACACAAGAAGATATGGAGCAAAAGGTACTAACTTTCTTGAAAAACAAATTAGACATTGATCTTGATCCTACAGACATCGATATCGCACACAGAATTGGGAAATTTGTTGTTGATGGCAACAGGCCTGTCATCTGTATATTCATATATAGGACACATAGACTCAAGGTCATTTCGGCCAGGAAGAAATTAAAAAGATCAACCCAGGTGATCAGGGAGGATCTTACATTAAGAAATGCAAGACTTCTTGAAAAACTGTCTCAAAAAGAGGAAGTGAAAAACCGTTGGTCAGACGAGGGCAAAATTATTGTCCTTTTGACAAACGGAAGAAAGATTAAGGTAGACATGTACACAGATCTCTCAAGTCCTTTACTGTAAAGTGTGAAAAAGAAGATTAATTCAACTGTTTGTGACTTGGAAGAAACACGGATTTATATTACAATTGCAGACAGTTACTCTGAAATATTGAATTGCGCTTCTTTTTCCGTAATCTTGTTTTTAGAGATTACTACAGTATATATTATGTACTCAGTATATGTGATTTGTGAAAAATGAAGAAGCTAATGTTTTATACTTAAGTATATGTCAGCCTACTCTTTATATAGATGGTTAGTCCCGATGTTGCTTATAATGCATAATTTCTTTTTTTATGTTTTTTGTATTTATAATAAATATGCATGTATGTCTTCTATATATATACACAAAAAGGTTATGGTGGGGTGAAGTAAAACATAATTTAATTAGAGGTCACATTAAATTAAACAATATTATAGTAAAAGAAGTGTTTAAAATATAACAAAACACAGACAGCCTTCTTGTTTTGTTTTTTTCCAAATTTTCTTTTTCATAATGGAAATATGTTTCAAGAATAAAATAGGTTGGGCAGTGCAGAGACGAGTTTTTTAAAACTGATAATTTTTGCATTGTCAAATATTATTACTGTTTTAGGGATTTTTTGACATAATGACTGAAAATATCAATTTTTCTCAATGAATGTTCATGGGTTAGGGCATAGCCAAAAAAGAAAAGATGTATTTAATTACTTAAAAGGGAAAAATACAACGTGTATTTTTACAAGATATACATTTTACTAACAAAGAAGTTAATAATAATATCCCTTCGCAGTGGGAATATGAATGCTATTTCAGTAATTATGATAGTCAATCTAGAGGAGTAGCAATATTTATTAATAACAATTTTGACTTAAAACTTTAAAGTCTTGAAACAGATTAAAATGGTAGATCTAATTTACTTTTTATACATGCATGCATTTCAAATATTGATATCACTTTCATTTGTATATATGGAGCAAATAGAGATGACCCTATCTTCTACAACAATATAAAAGAGAAAATCTTACAGTTAGAAAACCCATGTATAATGGTAGGAGACTTTAATATGGTGCTAAGAATATGGTAGGAGACTTTAATATGGTGTTAAGAATATGGACTGCTTTAATTATTTAAACATAAATAACCCTAAGGCCAGGGAAGTTGTGTTAGATATGATAATTGAATGTAATTTAATTGCTGGAGGGAACAATTTGTAGAACAAAGGCAGTATACTTGGTTTTAAAGAAACCCTATAAAAAGAGCTAGGCTTTTTTATCTTAATCTCCAATAATCTTTTTACAGATATGAGTAGTGTTGACATTGTGCTAGGTTATAGAACAGATCATTTCATGATTTTATTATGTATTCAATTTGGCAAATTTAAAAAAGGTATTTCATACTGGAAATTTAATAATTCCCTTTTGAAAGATTCACAGTATGTTAATGAAATTAAATCCCTTATATCCCAAGTCAAATTACAAAATGATTCTGAGACCCAAAAAACAGAGGTACAATTAGAAAATATAAGTAATAATCTTATAAGTTTTATAATAGATGATAAACTATTTTTTGAAACACTCTTAATGGAAATTAGGGGGAAACTCTTTCATATTCATCTTTTAAAAAAACAAGAAGACAAAACTCAGGAAAAATTGATGATAGAAATTGGTAATTTAGAAAGACAGTCAAACATTAATGTCCAGGTTTGAGATGAAAAAAAGAAGGATTACTTAAATTCCGAAATAAGAAAATGCAAGATGTTTTTATAAGATCTAGGCCAAATGGATTTCAGAAGGGGAAATCCATCAAGATATTGTTGTAACATGGCAAACAGAAATTATGTCTCATAAACAATGAATTCTTTATATGATATATCGGATACTTTGCTTACAGATCAAAATGAAATTCTACAAGAAGTAGCTGGTCATTACAAAAATTTGTATACTTTAAGGGAAACAGATAATGTCAACCTTACTGCTTATTTAATAATAATAACATACAAAAACTGAATGATGAAGAAAGCAAAGGACTTGATGGTCTTTTATCTTACAATGAAATGTTAGCCACTCAAAAAAAAAATATCAAATGATTCTTCCCCAGGCAGTAGTTGTTTTACAGCGGCTTTCTTTATTTTTTTTGGAATGATTTATGTCAGTTTGTAGTTAGATCAGTTAACCAAGCTTTTGTTTCAGGAGAATTATCGAATTATCAGATACCTTTAAACAAGGGGTTATAACATGCATCCCTAAAGGAAACAAAGATAAACATTATATTAAAAACTGGAGACCTATTTCTTTAATAAATGTTTCTTACAAAATTGCTTTAGCAAGTATTGCCCAACGCCTTAAAACTGTTTTAAATAAACTTATAAGTGAAGATCAAACTAATTTCTTATCTGGAAGATACATTGGTGACAATATCAGACTTATTTATGATATTATGAAATACACAGATGATCATCAAATTCCTGGAATGTTGTTACTTATTGATTTTGCAACAGCCTTTGATTCTATATCATGAACATTTATGCATAAAGTTTTAGAGTTTTTCAATTTGGTAAAAATTTCATAAGTTGGGTAAAGTTATTTTACAAAAACCTTCATTCTTGTGTCACAATAAATGGAAATTTGTCAGACTGGCTTCAAATACAACGTGGTTGTCGTCAGGGCGATCCCCTATCCCCTTACATTTTCATATTATGTGTAGAAATTCTTGCATTACTTATGAAATATAAAAAGTATCAGACTTAATACATATAATTCTTAATTTTTATTATCCCAATATGCTGATCACATAACTATAATGTTTGATCGAACTGTTTAGTCTCTTAATATCGATGCAAATTAAAGAACACAGTTCCAAGCGTTCATTTTTTTTTTAAAAATATGTCGTTATTCTTCTGAGAACACAATTATATAGTGCAAAAAGAAAATAAAGTTTCAAAGTTTGACAATTTATGGGAAAAATATATTTCTTTGCTGCCTAATTGAGACTAATTTTTTAAGATCATTTAGTTAGGCTTGATCCACTCTGTATTGCACCCACTGCCCTTTTTTGTATCTTTCCTTTTTAAACACAATGAATGACCTTTGGTATTTTTTAATCTTTTTTATGATATTAATGCATAAAGTATTCATGACAAAAGGTGCAACTCTTAACTGGATATCAATTTTAAGATAGTAGGAGTTGTTTCCCTTGAGTTAATGACATTTTTTTCAATATATCTTCAATGTAAAATTGGAAAATCTCCTTTATGTTAAATAAGTTCTATAAAATCGTAAAGTAATAAGTTCCGAAAATGAATCTTTTGCTTATGTTATACTAAAATAAGTCTGGTATTAAATATTTGTCAACTCTGTTAAGATACTATTGAATTAATATCTTTACTATATTTATAAACTTTGTAGATTCCAAAAAGAAATCTTTTATTCCTCCTTATACGTTTATCTCATATAATGTATGTATATGCATAAATGTTTTGTATTGTGTAAAAAATTTGGAAAAAACAAAACAAAATCATATTTTATTTTTGTCGTGGCCATTTCTGCTAAATTATTGTTCACAAGGCGACACATCCAACTCGCGGCTTTCTAATTTAAAAGTAAAAGTGCTATCATGATGTGTAAGTCGAATGATTTTTTATTTAATTAGATGTTTTACAGAAATCAATTTCACAAAGAATAGACGGAAAAAAAGTTTATTTCGTCGAACCGTTTCTCGATATGCTTGAAGTTTTTGTCTAGGCCTAAAGGTATCTATTCGTTTTTTGTTTTTTTTGTTTTTTTTTAGAATAGTGACTAAGTATAACAAAAAATGGTCTAGTCTTTGTGAATAAATTGAATTGATTTTGGTTAAACATCTAATCAAAGTGAACAAAAATCAGCCACATTACACCTCATGCTCGCACTAAATGGAGACCCATTAACGTTTCCGTAGTTATCGTTATTTTGAAATCTTGATAAATTAAAAAATTGCATTTTGAAAGTTATTTACAGTGAGCTATTGATAAACAGAGTTCTTATGTTTCAGGCGACCTCCTTGTTCTCTGGTGATAGCTAAAAGTGTCTTACACAAAACCTACGATTGTCAGTTCCGAGACTATGAACGCATAATTGTTGAATCTTTAGTTACACCCAAATCAGGTAAGTCGTCATGACTAATATAGTACAGAGAAAAAGGGTACAAGTACGGAAACGTAAAAGGGCATCCGTTTTGTGCGATCATGAGGTGTAAGATGGCTGATTTTTGTTCGAATTAATCAGATGTTTGAACACAAATCAATTCCTTTTATTCACAAAGACTAGATCATTTTTCGTCATTGTTGTCATTTTACCCCAAATGCTTCAAGTTGTTAGTCAAGACGAAGTGTTCTCAAAAAGACAAATGTTTTTTAAAAGACGAAAAGATACCTTCTCGCGACTACACGTCGAGCAAAACAAACATCCTATATTTTCTTTACCAACTTATTATTTGATCTGATTTCAATTTTATCTGCTTTCTAGACCCTTTATCCACTTGAAACGTTTTTGTTATAAATATGAATCGCTATTTTTGAAGAATATTGGAGAATTAATCTGCTTACTGATGAAACGGTCAACATAATGTATTATGCAATTAATATTAACAGAGAGATTCAAAATAAAAAAAGAACAACAATATAATATAAATTTGTAATTACCTATCAGAATAGAAAAAAATCCTGAAGTTGATGCAAAGCCTCGTTTGTGACTATCGTGTAAACTGCTATTAATATTCAATATTACTTTAGAGAAAAAAATATATAAAATATATTCCTAAGGAATAAAAATGAAATGATCAGCGTTAAACACGTAAACAAACTGAATTACAACCAGCCGAATTACACATCATGATCGCACTAAATGGAGGCCCTTTAACGTTTTTGTACAAGACATCTGATATATTTGCGATTTTAACATTCTAACTTTCGTACATACAAGACAGTGATTTTTTAGGAACGAAATTTATTATAATTTTTTTTTATAAACAGTCACGCTCAATTTAACTATGTCTTGATTTCTTGTTTAAAACTTTAATATAGGAAATAAGTAGTATAGGGGGCCTCTTTAGCGTCACGACTGCGCATGCGCGGCGGCCATCATAGCCCTCTTGTTTTATATACAGTCACGCTCAATTTAACTATGTCTTGATTCCTTGTTTAAAACTTTAATATAGGAAGTAAACTTCTTTGTGATGCCCGTTTGTTCCGAGGGGCATCTGAGGAAAAAACATCATATTTTATAACCATTTCAAAATCGCCCAATTATTAATTTCAGAAACTCTGGAGAAAAAAACCCATAAAAACTGACGTCTTGTGTTGTATGTCGTCATAATTATAGTCCTCTGTTGTTTAAAACACAGTTTATGTCTTTTTTTGTCGTAAATCAACGATGTTAAATTTAGCGTTGACAGAGAACGTGCTTTAGAATCATAGCCCTGGGTTGACGTATCACTTTTCTTAACTGGTACTACCTCAACGGGCGTACTCTTGCAACTAACTAGAACTCTCAGGATCAATTCTTGATCATTGGATTAATTATATATGTAAACAGGGTTCTCCTGCATTGAAGTATGATGACCCCAATATCAGTGCAAGTTTAACGTACGACTCCCTCTCAGACTTATTTTACTTGGGGACCATATGCCGCTTTTCATGGAATGACACTAACGTATCACATTGAAGGTTCCATAATAATCGCCTTATGAACACATCTGCGGGTGTCTCAAAATTCTAAATTTTACTAGTTCATGTTTAATGTTGAATTCTGCTTAAGCCGGTGCTAGGGGCGTAGGCGGTATATTGCACTTTACGGTTGTCCATGAACAGGCTTAACCAAACCGAGCCTGCAACATTTTCAATTTTGCCGCGTGGGGCTTTCTTTAGGGATTCTTATTTCACTCTATTTTTACACTTTAATGACACGACAATTCTTAATTTGACCAATCAGTTGTTAGTCTTCCTAACACAGACATACGGTAACACGAGTTTAGAAAGGTTTGTGACGGGTGCGTGACTGAAAACACGACAAGAGTCCTGTCTTGTCTTACAAAGTCTTGCTTCAATGCAGGACACTACAAAAATCTAATTGTTTGTTTAATAGGTCAAAAACACATGGTTAGATTTGAGAAATCTTACCTTGTCTGTAGTGGAAACAAGTTTTTCTTTGTCGCCATAATTATGGTCAAGTTATGTTCTACACAATCTTGATTTCGTTTTCGTATTGAATATACATGAACATGTATACATAAGAAGGATGCTGTCTCTCGACGTCGTCATGCGATAATGTACGTTGTCTTGTAAGTCCTGCGTTGACTTCTTCAATTATGCACGCATTGAGGAGTGACACGACATTTTAGTTTACGCACGCGTCCGTACTACTCCGATGAGCTACGCCATGGCACGGAGTGACAAAAACTTTTAATTAACAGTGAATAATAGCTTGATTATAATGTAAACATTAAACGATTGATTTACTTAGCAACGATACAAGTAGTTTTACAAATTAAAGTGCTAAACACCAAGACATGCTTTAAAACTTAATTAAACTGCATTTTATATTGTTCCCTTAACAGGTCCAAGCTGGAACAAAATGAGGGAGTGTTCGAAACACAAGAGCTTTTTCCACTATTTTCAGACATGCTTTCAACGACACATACCGAAATCGTGTAAAGATTCTAAACATAAAGTCACAAAAGTATTACGACTTACAACAGATCTATTGACGCCTGTTCTGCAATCACGTGCCAATCTGAAGGCCATTCATCTTTTCAGAGATCCACGTGCCATCATTAATTCTAGAATTGAGACCGATTGGTACCCTTCAAACACGACCAAGTCGGGGATAGAAAATGCTGAATCTTTGTGCAATAAAATGCTTTACGATTTTCGCGAAGGTCAAAAAGTTCAACAATTATTCCCAGATAGATTCAGATTTATTTATTTCGAAGATTTTAGCGTTGATATTTTAAACAGGTCTAAAATATTATATAAATATTTAGGTATGAATACAAATGAGAAATATTACCCAGAAATCCTTAAACTTTCGGCTCTTAAGAACGCAACATCTGTTGAGACGGAGCGAAAAAGAAATACAGCATTTTGGTGGAGAAAAACTTTAAAATGGGAAATTGTTGAGAAAATGGAGAAAATATGCAAGGATGTTTATAAAGAACTTGGCTATAAATCCTTTTCAAATATACAGGAATATAACGACTTGTCAATACCCAGTGTAGTCATACCAAAAGAGTATTTGATTGTTTGAAGCAAGAGTTTATTTTAGAAATAATGTTTAATATAAACGTGTTCTGGTTAAATAATGCGCGGTTATTGTTAAGATGCGCAGAATGCCTAGTATATTATTAATCTCGACGACAGCTTCTGTGATGAGCGGACGAATTCGGTGGTGACAGGAAGACATTTAACACCAAGAGCAGTTGTTCATTCTGTTTTTATCATTTAAACTGTATAAATTGATTATTGTTTTCTGAATAGAGTTTTGCTAGAGTAATTTCGTATTGCTTTTATTTTCTTTCTATACAAATACAGATACATGTACAATGTCACATGCAAACATAAGACAAAACATTCAGAAATGAATTTGCAGTATTTACATGGATGATGGTAATGAAATTGAAAGGGGGGAGGTGGCCTAGTGGTTAAGGTGTCTGCCTCTCATTCCAGAGATCATGGGTTTGAGCCTAACTAGTGTCACGACCATGTTTCTTCATATGACACCAGTACTGGTTGGTTCCAGGAAGCAGACTCGAAAGTCAGTGATTGATATAAGTTGCAAGAACTTGTTTCGCAATCGAGCTAAAAAAATATGTTTAAACCAATGAAATTGTTCATAAAATACGAGAGTCGGACCAAAGTTTTAACAACATTAGAGAGTTGGCCATTCCCACATTGTCTCAGTAATAGTTAAAAGATGTACATCAATACCGTTGTACAGTGGAGATTGTCTTAGCGACCCCCTGATTTAAACGACGCCCTGTCTTATCTGACCTTGTTTCAGTCCTCCCAACGTATTTTCCAAAATAAATGTTAATCAAACAAAAATGTGTATTTTTCAGAAAAGGAAACAAGTAAATAATTTTGTTTGTAAAATAAATGATGAACAATTGAGGTAAAAGATAATTTTACTTATCTTGGTGTTTATTTTACTTATACAGGAAACATGAAAAGTCTGTTAAAGCACTGTCAGATCAAGCTCTTAAAGCCTATAATTCACCTTTGTCTCTTTTTGATAAAGTCAATTTTGATATGCACTTTTTGAGTCTTTGGTTGTACCAATTTTTCTCTATAGCTCTGAAGTATTGGGTATTTATGAATTTCCTGAAGTAGATAAAATACATGTAAAATTTTGTAAACATGTTTTGGTGTTAAACAACAAACTCCTAATTTAGCTGTTCTTGATGAACTGAGAAGGGACCCACTTTCTGTTATTTGTAAAGAAAGAGCTATTAAATACTGGTTAAAGATAATGAAAAATCACGATTCACCTATGTATACTTAGCAAAGGAAATTATGTGAATTGCTGGGCCTATAAGATTAAACAACAAATAGACAATTTAGGCTACAGAAATCTTATAGTGAATTTTAGGCAAGATGTAAATTATTTTCCTGCTATGAAACAACGTATTAGAGATCAGTTTCAGTTTATACAAACTTGGAATGAGACAACATTTCTATAGAAAGTATAATAGTGGAGCGGGAAATAAGGTCTCTCCTGTCAAAATAGTGCAAATTGTGATACAAGCATGAAACTTTTAGGAAATCATCTTTAGACTATAGAGATTCCAAAAATGAAGTGGGACAAAAAATATCTCTGCTCATCCAAGATGGCCGCCATTTTTAAAATGGCCGCCTGTACATTTGACGTTCATAATAGCTCATTCAGTGTAATTTTTTGTACAGACCTGAAACTTACACTTAAGCATGTAGAAAATTTCTCCTTTACAAAAATTCAAATCATGGAACAAAATCCGCGTTCATACCTCTTCAGAATTCAAGATGGCATCCAATATGGCCGCCGATTTTATGCAAAACTGATATGTCTCTTTTGTCACATAATTTGTATCACAAATTATGCATATTTCGATAAAAAGTGTTAAACGTTTATTTAATAAACATATAAAAAATTATCAAATTATATTTAAACCACAATGTAAGTCAAGCATTTTAAGTTATTTATCCAAAAGTATCTTTAAAAATATTTTTAAAAAATGCCAATATTTGCATATTTCTCTAACATGATTTTCTTATATGTCTTTGTACAAAACTCAAAAAGTAACTTAGTTTCTTATAGTGTATTTGATGTGTAATTAACACTATGTGTTTATTGTAAATATAAAATCTGTAGGTTTTATATTTTGTCAAAGTGGGTGGGGTAAATTTATCTGATAATTGAAAAACAAAAACACGAAGTTTGTCAGTTAATTTTATTTCTTTGCTTTTTGTTAAACTTTCTATGAAAATATTCACTGTTAAAAAGTAATGTTTTTTTAAAGATTTTTTCCCTTCATTCAGGTCTAAAGTGTGCTAAAATATCAGTAAATGAACATACATTTATTTGTATACAGTCAGTTATAAAATTTGTTTCAAGATATAACTTGTTTCAATATTCTTAACATTATCAGTTAACTAAATATACATCAAATAAATATGCGTTAAATATTGTCTTATTAACGAATACAATTAATTCCTTCACAATTTATTTACGAAAAGGTAAAAAACGCTTTAAAGCCATCACATTGAGAAAAATGAATTGTGCATTAGATATCATAGTCTTACTGAAGGCTTATTACAGTACGTTTCAAAGTTATATTTACTTTCATGTCATTGTAATTAAGTATAATTGAATTAGCACTGTTTATAGAATAACATATCTAGACATGGTATTTTCAAAAAATATAAAGTAAAATTAAGGCGACTGATACATCATATGATCTAGTATCGCTCGACCCACATATAGTTGCTGATGATTCGAAATATAAACTAACTGTCAAAGATTATTCAAATTTCATGTTTCCGGCCACCATTAAACAATCCTAGACCACTCACCCAAGATCCACTGCAGGGAAATTGCCATAACTTTTTAATACAGAAGTAAGATAAGATCATAAGATAAGTATCAATTTTGTTCACCACATACAGTTATTATTTATGAACTATCTGTAAAGGTAAGCTTCAAAGGAAACATGCCCAATATCTAGGTACTCAGAACTGTTTCACACAAGAAGACTCATATAGTTATATTCCTATATGAGTCCATGTAAACTTAGTGATTTGGTCCTATGCCAATAATTCATAATTTTTAAAGAGTATCACAAAGTGATGTTTCATGATAATTTTTTCTGCCCGGGAAACTTTAGTTTCTGAGAAGACTTTTAAGACAGTTTAAAGTCTTTGTAAACATATAATAAGTAACATACCAGGGAAAGCCATTTTAGACTGCAGCAGCATGATAAAAAGGCCTGCCACGAGGGGCATTTAGTTTTGAAAGACTTATATAGGAAATCACATGTAAGTCCTCTTTTGGAGAACTACAATGCCTAGAACCTAGATATACAACATACCGGTATAACATTATCAAGTAGAGAAGACCTCATTAAATGTTACAGAAAACTCTCTTTTCGTCACTTAGTGTACATCGATTTTACATAGTAAAAATTTTTAAAAAGTCTTCTCAAAAAGCAGAATGCACAGAGCATAGAGATACTAAGCATGCACCATAATCTTGTGTCTTTAACATATTGAATGAATCTTGCTCATTAGAGCCACCCCGATTTATAGACTTGTACATGAAAACACAATAAAAACTGCCAGTGTTAAACTAATGCATAAAATTGTATGATACTTCTGCAGTTGAAATGGCTTTGAAATGGGTTTCACTAATTTTACACAGACTTATGAAATAAATCTGTATTCTCTAAAACTACAGTACCCGGAGTATAGACATTAATTATGTATCATCATAATACATATATGATAAATCATGGACAAGATGGTCAAAATTTATCATGCACCAGGGGTCACTAAGTTTATATGGACTCATATAGGAATAATAATAGTTATTTACATCCTCTGATGAGAAACAATTCTGAGAAAAATGGATATTAGGCTGCTTCTTTTAAAGCAGCCGAAGACAAATATTTCAAAAATCATATGTTATGACAAAATTGATACACCCAACTACCTATATACGTTTATAAAGAATTGTGACATTTTCCCAACAATGGTGTGTGATATAGGATCATCATTGCTCTGTTATTGAAATAAAAAATAAATATAAATAATCTATTAATTACAATTATTTTGTTTCAAATCATCAAAAACTGTATATAAGACAGGTGATACCATTGATATATCTGTTTCACAATACACAGATGAGATGTAAAAAAATAATTTCCTAGCTGAGTTAGCTTTCAAGCCACTTTTATATTTTCAATATGAAATTGTGAATGAGTTAATAATATGCGTTAATGGACAACATTCATCATGTGCTTGTTTGCTATTTAAAGCAAGTTTGTTGATTTATTCCTTTCTTATTGACTTTACAATTAACAATTAATAAATAATATCAAGATATTGAAACAAGTAATATCATGCTACCAAATTTAATATCTGAGTGTATACTTATGAATGTATGTGCATTTATTGATATTTTATGTCACCTACTTGACCCAAAGAAAGACATATATTTTATAGCTTCCTACACAATCAAACTAAAATAAATTCTGTATAAACCAAAGAAAACAAAAATACCTTCATCTAAAAAAATAATGCTTTTAATAGGGAACATTTGCATAAGGATTAACAGAAAAGCAAAAGAAATAGAAACAACTTACCATACAGTAAATTTTGTTGTTAGTGGATAAATTTATCCTACCCATTTTTAAAAAATATAAAATCTACAGTTTTTATGGTTTTCTTACATGTTTACAACAAACCCCTTTTTTATTGAATGACAAATAAGAAATAAAGTAACTTTATTTTGCATAAACGAATAGATTTAGAAAACCAAATTAGAGAAATATGCAAAACAAATGAGATTTTTTTCTTGATATCTTTAAAGATATTTTCTTAGACATAAACTTTAAAAACTTTACTTTCATTATAATTTATATATGATTTTGTTATTTCTGGTATGTTTAAACACTTTCTTAACGAAATAAACATAATTTGTGCTATAAATTGTACTATAGAAATTATATAACAGTTTTGCATAAAATTGGCGGCCATATTGGACGCCATCTTAGATTGACAAGAGGTATGAAAGCAGAATTTGGTAAGATTTTATTTTTTGTAAAGGAGACACGTCATACATGCTATGGTGTAAGTTCGAGGTCTTTACACAAATTTTTAATGTATGAGCTATAATGTAAATTAAATTTATATGGCGGCCATTTTGAAAATGGCGGCCATCTTGAATGAGCAAAGATATTTTTGGGCCCACTTCATTTTTGAAATCTACATGGTCTTACGATGATTTCCTGAAAGTTTCAT